GAAAGTGAGGAGAGTCCGCTATCCCTCTCCAAATGCTCTCACATCGCCACGCGTATATAGCCTCTGAAAGGGAAGTCCTATTCACTGCCTTCTCGTGACATTACTGTCGTTTACGAAATTGAGAGGACGAAAAGCGAATGTCCAGCACTTTAACCGAGTTGCTGGACACGGAAAGTCCACCTAGGGGAGTTGGAAAACCCTGATTCCAAACCAATGGTGAACATGGGCTGGCTCTAGTATCCTGAAGGAACAAAAGGTGTTTGAATCAATCGTTGGTCACCGACTACCATGGAACTGCGTCTCCTGATGTTGGCACACTGCCTTGTGTATCAGACCTTTAGGTCAATGGCTCCGTGTGTGGCCCCCTAAGAAAACCACCTGTTTCAGTTTGGGCACCTGCGCAGTATCACAGCCCTCACACAAATCAAATGAGATTTGTGTGGTGCATATGTACCTGGTGCCCCCTTGTACCAATATTTATGTGTTTATTAATAATAATTAATAATAAATTAGAGAAAACGCAATGCACATACACATTTGGTATTTTATTTTTAAAATGATTGAATTTCAATGTTTAACCTTTTCCTTAATATCTACAATACATAAATCTATTGACTGCACATTTCATTTCCGAAATGAATTCATGCGATCTGCATTTATTTAAAAATGTTCAAGTAAAATGAATTAGGGAGTTCATGTATATATATATATATATATATATATATATATATATATATATATATATATAGTGTTACAGTGGCAATATAGGTTAGCTCTTTACTTGAACAATAAAGGTCAAAAATATAACAAAATTGTATCGATACTAAATTTCGCACAAGTAATATAGATAAAAATGAAAATTGAGAAACAAGTTACAATTATATTTTTACTGTTTGTTGAGATCAAGAAAATTCCTCGAAAGAAGCCAAAAGGGCTCTGAAATCGCTGAGGAACATCTTATCAAGTCAGCATTCAATAAACGTCTTGCCAGAAACATCTGGCAAGTGAAAAGTCACATGTCGAATTTCTGATTGGATTATTTCCTGAAAGCTCAATGCCATCTAAAATAGTATAATTACCCTAAATTTTCTGTACATAAATGCTACTTAGAATAACGTGTTTTTTTTTCATATTTCGCGCTTTTTCTCTCGTGTTCAAGTCGCTGTGTAGATTTAGCATAAAGGGGTCAATAAAAGATCTTAGGAACCAAATCTAGAGTTCAATTAGAAGACTTATCACTTTTAAAAGACCATTTGTCCAAACATTTATTCATCTAAAAATAATATTGATAAATTTATTTCCAGAAATGTATAACATAAAATAACATTTTTGTTGTTGTTGAAAAATCAACTATGATCAATTAAGTTTTTCACAAGTCCCTATAGAATTGATTATTTTTATAGCGAAATAAATATAATAATTATTTTGTATGATGTAATAAAACTGTCATCGGTCTTCTGAACTACATCTACTCGAAGTAATAAAACTGTTCTAAGATTGATCAGTGATCATTTAAATGTAACTAATGTTATCAGGTAATGAATTTTGGATATTGGTGACATTTATTTATTCCTATTTTATATGGTTGAAATCATAAGTCAATTGAAGCTAGACTATTATGGAAAACCTGGAAGCACTGGACGGTCGTTTCATCCTATTGTGGGACTCCTCAGCAGTACGCATCCACGATCCTGCTTCACGAGATTCGAACCCAGGACCTATCAGTCTTGCGCGCGAACGTTTAACCACTAGACCACTGAGCCGACATCCAACGGTGTTAATGTCTAACTTCAACCAATTCACGAAATCGAGCAACCATTTACAATTGTCATCAGTTAGTTACTATTTTAAAACAGACTTGGTTGAACCCCAAAACGAAAGTGAGCTGTTTTAATTTCTTAATGAGTAGTAATCAATAAACTATACCTTAGAGACAAAATTTCACTTTCGTTCTAATAAGTAATTATCCTTTAACTTGATTTTGAATTCGTTAACAATAGCATACATACTGATTAGAACTATTCAGTATATTTGAAATTTTTGTTGTTATACTTAAAATAAGTTATTACCTCGAAATGAATGGTACTTAAAGTAGGTCATGTTTACGTCTATTCATACCTCTAATATTAACACATTTTAGAGGGTAAACTAGATTTATCCTAAGGTGTATTGATTCACACACTCTAACTACCATATGGCTTGCTTTATGATTTAACTAATTAAAAATACCTCACATTCAAACATCTTCAATCTCACCGTGCATATGGAAAACGATATAACAAAAAAAGTTCATTTTTTGTCCTATACACACTTCAATGAAGCTGTTATATTAGTACTCTGCAATACATTGAACACATTCACTAACGTAACTATGAGTTCAGAATCAATTAGACGATTTGGACTTCGCAGATGACCAAGCCCTCCTATCCCATACACATGAACAAATGCAGATGAAGACAACTAATGTAGCTGCAGCCTCTGCATCAGTGGGCCTCAACATACACGAAGGAAAAAGCAAAATCCTTAAATACAACATCGAGAACGCCAATCCAGTCACACTTGATGATGAAACTCTGGAAGATGTTGGAAGTGGATAGGACATACATTACAGAAATCGCTGAAAAATTCCCATCATATTAAAACACAATTATATGAACGAAGAATATTCTTCTCAATAATTTCTCATCAGGTTCTACAGTCATAAATTAATAATCCATAAAAGAAGATTGGCCAAGTTTAAGGCAGAGTACATCAATTGAAGAAACTGTAATATGTGAATCAAGGATTGTTTGTCATATAAAATAAGATCGAATCGTTAATGTTTTTGGGATGACTAATATGATGTGTTAACTTGAATCTTACGCTTTTATTTCACTTATAAATTGATTCTAGTTAACACATCATATTAGTCATCCCAAAAACGATTCGATCTTATTTTATATGACAAATAATCCTTGATTCACATATTACAGTTTCTTAAATTTATGTACTCTGCCTTAAACTTGGCCAATCTTCTTTCATGGATTTTTAATTTATAATTGTAGAACCTGATGAGAAATTATTGAAAAGAATATTCTTCGTTCATATAATTACGGAAATCATCAAACTACATCATGAAACAAGTTCTTACTTGGAATCCTGAAGGGAAACAGAAGAGATGAAGACCAAAGAACACAATGTGCCGAGAATTTGAAGTATAAATGAAAAGAATGAATAGCAATTGGAAAGGATTGGCCAGGACAGTGTTGGATGGAGAGTGCTGGTAGGCGGCCTATGCTTCTCTACGAGGGGTAACAGGCGTCATGTATATTTTGATGACAATCCTTTGTCCGATCTAACTGGAGTCACATAGTCGAGGGCCACAAAAAACTTACTATAGCTTATTTCTCAGGTATAGAGTTGCGTATTTGGTTTCCGGCAAGGCTCTAATTGTGAAGGCTAGTAATGATATTCATTTTATAAACCGAAGTATGTGGAGCAAAGTTCGTACCAATGATTCAGTGGCTGTAAATAGAACGTCTCAACTACTGAGCTACCGCTCCACCGGTTCATGAAGAAAACTATCTACATTTTATTTTATAATCATTGGATAACTTTTTATAAACTTCCTCATTGAGAGATAAAAATCAATTGCATTTTACGAAATTACTACCTACACAGAATATCAGCTTACTAGTTTTTTAAGTTTTCTAATAATGTACAATCGAGCTTGAGAGAGTCAAGATTAACACAAGAGTGAAGCAATATATTATTTGTCATGTAACAAGTAAGTAACAAAAACAGTTTAGTCATACAACGTAACTGAAATGTAAAATAACCGTAATTGAAATATTTCCTATTGATAAGATATGACCACCCTATATTACAAGTTGTTTAATATTGTGATATAAAAATAGTGTAGTAAAGTTATTTGAATGAGATGATAACCGTTGTCACTAGTACTATGAAGAATAGTTTGTGAGAACGCATAATAATAAACCTTATGAAATCCATTTATTTGAATCAGCTAATACCTAACATTGTTCATAAACATATCAATCAACTTATTTGAGTCTTCAGTATTAAACTGTATCGTTGTGGGTCCAATATAATTTTATAAACGCAATTTAGAATATTATTTATTGAAGTTTTCGACTCATGTCAACTATGAATTGTCTTTGGATTCACGTTTATACGCAAAAATTCATTTAAGAATTTCCAAAGTTGCGTTCAGAGTGAAAACCCCACTCATTTGTTAATAAAGATTGTGATTATTAATGCCGGTTCAGTGGTCTATCGGTAAAGTGCTCCGGTGCGAGACTGGTAGGTCCTGGGTTCGAATCTCGCGAGTGCAGGATCGTGGATGCGCACTGCTAAGGAGTCCCACAATAGGACGAGTTGGCCGTCTAGTGCTTCTAGGTTTTCTATGGTGGTCTAGCTTCAATTGACTCATGATTTTAACTATGAAGATTGTGATTGTCAATTAATTAGCTTCTAAGGTTAATACTCCTATGAATATCTGTATGCGAATAACATATCACACAAGGAAATGTTCAACCCTTTTAACACAGAGTTGTATAACAAGCATCATGGTAAACTTAATTAATAAAAATAGCTATCAGTAGTAGACAGCAAAATACACCAAAGTAAACTGTGTTCTTCAACTATCTACAGTAAAAATTTAAAAAAGACTGATAAAGATTTAATGTATTATGTAGATTATTTAAATTTAAGGAAGGTAATTCAAGCATTCTTAGATAATATATGATAAACCGGAACAAAAACTTTAAGTAATAGCCTAATAGTAGATGTTTTCTTCTTTCCAAGTACCTTAAAAGATGAAAGTAAAACAGCACAGAATAACTGTCAATGCAAAGAATTTATTGAATACATCAAAGCTATACATAAAACATAAGTGAGTAACAAATAATAAAAAAAATTATTGATTTACAATAATCTCTATAAACTACAAAAATTATCATTCTACATCAAACAAGAAAGTTGATATTCAAGTTTTTCCACTTTTTTCTGTATTACATCGATCTAGAAAAGAATATTCCAGAAAAACGAAATATGGAAATTGATTAATTAAATTATTAATTCGATATGATAATTCATATGCTCAACTTTTAATCACATACAAACATTAACATATATGAGTATCTAATTGAAATGACCAGTTTCTAAAACAAATTGATTAGGTAACAAAGGGAAACAATAACATAAAAATAGAAAGCCGAACACTAATTATTCTTGTTTTAAGCCGCTAGATTGAATTCGTTGATAAATTAAGTAATATAATAAGATATATAAGCCGCTATAAATGTTTAACTTTATAAATCATATAAAAATTGACCTTAGATACATCAATAACACATAAGTTAGTAATTTTAAATAGTTTGTACTTTCAAATGAATACAATTTGTGGTGATTTCATTGTAAAGTTCTTTCTAATCAGATGTAGTTGCTGACCCTAAGCTATACTTCCTTTTTCATATACATTTACGATCGGTAGTAGACCTCAAGAAGGGGTTTTGGCGGACGTTTATACTTTATCATACTTTCGAAATGAAATTTAAATGATGGATATAATGTCTTGTTTAATAGATGAAGAATTTTCGGTAAAAAATAAAATAAAAATTAATGATGAAACACTCCTCTACTTTATTATAAACTATTATACGGTATTATTTTAGAAAATGATACTGTTGAAAATAAAATTCTCTAAGCTGGACTGTCACTAATTTGTCCAACGATTTCATATGATTTTTCGTTGTCTTTCATTTAATAATACAAGACGAATTGACTAATATCAATGAACCTTCAGGTTTTAGCTGATGAACAAGATAAGATAAAATGATACCAATGAAAGAATTACTTATATTACATTATAATTTTAATAATGTTGGTCACTTAGATCAAACTTGTAGCTTAACAATTAAGGTGTACATCATTCTATCTGAGCATTCTGGGTCAGTGTTCCAGATAATATTTATGCAGTTTTTCTTTAGATGTCACAGGACCAAATGAAACATCTAATTCCATGAGTCGGAATAATTGTTCAGCTATTCAGTAAAATAACTTTAAACAAAATATTCCAAGATATTATTCAACACGTCAGAATCTTTAAAACAAATTAAGAATTTCTGTAGAAATTATTTACATCCTATTATTTCAATGCGATCACCAAACCATGACTTAATTCAAACCAAATAAGGTTAACTAGAGGGATCTACTGACATTTTCATCAAGGGATATAGACTACTTAGTATCTTCCCGAAACTAAAAGACAACGTTGAATTATTGAGCCTTACAAAATTAGAGGTAACAAAAAAGGTCATAGATTGCTTAACTGTTTTAAAATATTTATTTTTTTAAAGTCCATTATATTGCTTTAATTGATCATTTTACCGTTCTATACAATTTTTCTTCGATCATGCAATGAGAAGACGAAGTTTTTTTACTACGAAGGAACTGATTGGCTTTCGCTTCGCAGAAACTGAAAAACATCATGATGAAATGGTTAAACAATGATTGAAAACACAAAGACATAGACGAATATTCATTACCTTAAATTGATTTGTTTCTTGTGTATTCTGTTTGCTTTTTTTCATTTTCCCTATGTTTATCAACTCCTCTTTACGTTTACATAACTTATCAATACGAAGTTGTAATTCATTTTTAGCCCAATTAAGATCATATTCCTGTATAATGAAATTAAATTAAAGGACACATCATTGATACAAGTATGCGATGAAATGTTAATTAATAGAAATACTTTTAACAGGAATGTAATATTGTAGTTCATTGAATTGTATCTTCTTTTTCATTTCAAAAACATGGGTGATGAAATCCATACTAAGCATTAGACATCCAAGTTGTGTATTCGAAGTATACATTTCGTATATACGAAATTTCACGAGTTTGATGTGTTGAATCCCGCGTCTTAAGATCTAATATTTACACGAATAATAAAGCTATGAACAAAACTTCTACCTGAAGTTTGTGCAGATGATGTTGTTCAGAAGAACAATGAAAGCTCCACGACTAAACCATTTAGCTCAGAGAACAAAACTCTACCTAAATCATCCATCTGAGCTACAAATCTTCTTCAACATCTCGAAAGAAGAGTTTTTTGTATCTCATCAGGCTTAATACTTTCTAAAAACTATTTCAAAGTTGTGTAAGCCCATATATTTAAACTCTAAAAACAATCATACATATTCAGGAAAAGTTACATATGAAGGTTTTGTAATCAAACAACATCATTGGAAACAGTTTGAGAATTATTAATGTCATATCGATAATCATTAGATGGCAGAATATTAAGAAATTTGTCATTTGCTTGCCTTCAATCACGAAGATTACCACATCAGATGTTTAAAATTTTCCTTTCTTCAACTAACCAATGATGATACATACTTATTCGATTGTTATAAGTAGCATCACAAAAAGTATCGAAATAAATTCATGAAAAATTTAAGATGAATCAAATATCAACTTACATTCTTATTTATACATAAATGCCAATCAGTTTGATCATTATGAACAGGTATATAAACATAATTATTGCTTGCTATCATATCTGACTTGAAGTTAATAGATATGAGCGCTTTCAAAACAGCAGATTCATCTTCTGAAACATGTGAATCACTAGCGTTTCTTATCAAGTAAATACTATCGGATTCCATTTTCTTTAATTCCGTGGGATTTTTTGATTTATTATGATGAATAGATCGCAGTAAAGGACGCCAAGAATTGACATTTGAAGCTACTGTACTTAGCTCAGACATTATTTCTTGTACACGATCCAACGAAATATCATAGTCATTCTGATACAAGAATTCAAACTGTAACGACAATAATATTTATAGATTATGTTTTGAGAAAACAAGTAACAAGAAGTAAATGATACAATTATTTTACTGAGTATATAACCAGAAAGCATGATGAAAGAATTTCTGACATTGGCAAGACACAAAATCGTATAGGGTAATATGTGTTTTAATCAAATGGAATCGAGTTTTGAGTGTGTTGCGTTTAACCCATAGATTGATCATTGAGGTCATTTATACCAACCCCAATCTATGGTTTGAGAAAGTCGATGTGACTAAACACGGACCACAGCGGTGTATATGTTTCTCATACTTGTTACTCTCTAATTTTATTTTTAACTTATTGAACTATACATTCACAAGTTTTATTTGACCACTGCGAATTGTATGCTTAATTTAATACCTTTATCAACGATTATGCCACATTTTTCTTAACGTATTGAAAATAGATGTAAGATTGATAAATGCTGCTGAGATCTACAATTGTACGTTTGATACGACAGGTAGATCGGTAAGAATTAGCTAACAGATGAGTGTTATTTTTTAGCTGTTTGACGAAATAGAAAGTCTAAGAGAATATATATATATATATATATATATATATATATATATATATATATATATAGCAATTGGATACATACCCATTTACAATTAGGATATTGTTGCGTCAATAGACTGTTTTCTGGATTATACAACAAATCATCTTTCTGTTCAATCCTCATATTTAAACCATGCCAGAGAACTTCAGTTAAATGTGGCATAATTGGATGAAATATGTGAATGCCGGTCATTAGACAAAGGTATAAGATATGCAAAGAATTGGTGTTGGATGGTGTAGAACCTAGATGAACAAGAAAGAAAGGAAATTGTTAAACATGAGGATAATAACAATGAACCATATGAAAGTAGCGTATTATTCTTTATTTTTACCAAAATAACAAACTTTATATTTTTAATAGATATACTGATGATGTTAAATTTGGCAGGTGTGTGAGTATGTATTCGTTCGTCTTCAAAACTAGTAACTCTGTTCAATTCAAAGTCTTTTAAAAAAATGCTGGGTTTAATACGTTAAAGAAAATACTTTTAAAACCATAAAAGACCATTATATTCAAAATCCATTCTCTCCCGTTCTCTCTCACTTTAACGATCTTAACAGTTGTTGTTTGTGGGTAAGTCAGTTAACGTTTACCTAATTTACAGATATGAATAAAAAGAATGTTGTATTATGGTATCGTTTATTTTTAAATCGCAAACATATATTGCATCGAAATGTATTTGGGTTAGCGGAAACAATGTTAACATGGATTGAATGATATGTTGCTAAGTTACAACGTATAAATACTCAAAAATATATTTCTTGTTATATTCATTAGAATAGAATAAGGTAAATTTCATTAATTCTATACTGAAATAATCTTGATAAATATGGACAAAACAACAAAATATCAACTAAAAAGTCAGTCATAAGAAACATAAAACTTAGAACATATGTGGATCAGTTGAAGTTACCACAAAACATCAATATAACGAGATGAGATTATTCAATAAAGGAAGGCATTTTATCCAACATCTCCAACCGTTGGTTACAATAGTGCAGCTTGCTTCAACCAGTCAACTTGCGCCTATTAACATATAGCTCATATCAACAACCAATGATTTTATAAACTGAAGATATGTTCTGATTCGGCTACTTCTAGCTCTATTCAAACTTACTCCTCCCACACTAAATTCACACAATCACGTTGGCGATTACTGAAGTACCTACCTAAGTTGAGTTCTTTCCATTTCGTATGATTTAAGCTTATTAATTTTCTGTAACTTAGACAGAATAAACATTAATTATGGATGGTATATTTATGCTGAATTGACTATGATCTAACTCAAACACTTAAATTCTAATGATAAACAAGTAATTAGACATGTTTTTAGGACATTTGTTTTTATTGAAAATTCATTGACTAAATTTTAAATAGTACAACTAATCATGAGGGCTAATTTTAGTATTTAAAAAACTGATATCATGGATTGACAATAACAAAAATCTCATTACAGAGAAACTCATCAATATTTTGTTATTCGATTATTATATTGAAGTAATCCCTACTTTTTAAACTAGCTCTATAAAAGAACAGTGACTGAAATTCTAATGAAATATCACTTGCAATCGGAATCAAACTAAAAATTCCAAACTATCAGCTCAATATTCTATCAAGAGAATTAATTGACTAGAAGGTTGACGTATTGCAATGAAATCTACATTTATTCTATTATTAAGTTTTGCGATCGGTTGCTTAATAACGGATACAGAGAATTATTTACTTTGTATTGGTTGTTTGAATCTCATTGGTGTTTGGGACTGCTACCAATCAATTTCTTTTGGCATATGTGCATTTTGTGCGGATTGCATTAAAATTGCTACTAGGTCACAAGTACCATAAACAAATATGAATGGCGGTTAGAAATGAAATCCAGGACCTACGTTTCATATAATTTGGTACTCGACAGCTGGATGTATCTACAATTGAGTTGATGTTCACTTTGGGACTCTAATCTAGAAGCATTCGCTTCAAACGCCATCACGTTATATAACCAGCTATGGAATTCCTATTGCATAAACCAGTGGTTATCTGAACTCACTAGATAAGTGGGTAACGCCATGTCGTTTGAAGCGAGCAGTACTGAGTTGGATTCCCAGAGTGATCATCAACTCAGATGTATGTACATCCGGCTGACGAGTCCCAAATAGGACGGAACGCATGTCCTGGATTCTACTGTTAGTCACAATGCATCTTTGTTTATGATCGAGAGTTTAGTGTCATCAAATGAGTTATTAATTCAAATTATTAATAAACCATCAAAATATTGTTAAATAATCACCTTCATTTTTAATTACTTCTAGGTAAATGGAACACAGATCATTCAACCACCAATTTTGCATTCCTTTGACACCATGATGAAATGACCATTTTAAACCTTCATTATCAAAATCGACTTTAAACTTGTTATTACCAGTTTGAATCTTATTCTCTCCATGATCAATGTCTTTAGGATCTGTCCATGATGAGTTGATTAAATGAATTAATCGACATAATTTATGTATAATCCATATATCAAACAACCTTAGTTGCTGTAACATAAGAGTAAAAATAAACAATTAGAAAAAAATCTATTCCAATTCATCTTAATACGATAAACAAAATTTGTAGAAATAAAAATTGGACTGAAAATTTAAAAAGCATATACCGCTACTTATTGGTACCCAAGACCTTCTAAATTAGATAAACCAAGTCCACGTCATAGGAATGCACCAGTTACAACCATATTTCAATGATAAAATTAAGACAAGAGTAAATTGGAAAAAAAGATACAACATGCCATTTTGATTGTCAATTTAAAGTTATTTATGTCTAATAAACTGATCAATGATCTTAACTTTAGCTAAACACGAAAGAGCATCAATTTCACTAAATGTTACTCTTCAGGTTTTATAATTATTCCTAAGAACTGATAGACAAAATGACCATGTGAGAACCACTAGAATCTATTCTACTTAACTGCTTTTCATAAATAACCTCAGATGTGGATTCAAGTAGCATGAAAAGCATTGGTTTCTTCATAATTAAAAATACATCTAGGGTTCGAATCTCGCGAGTGCGGGATTGTGAATGCACACTGCTGAGGAGTCCCATACTAGTACGAAACGGCCGTCCAGTGCTTCCAGGTTTTCCATGGTAGTCTAGCTTCAATCGACCCATGATTTCAACTATGAAAATGCTAAATTCTCCACAAAACCCCCTCTGATAAATATCACTTAGCATAAACTTTTGATGCAAGTCTTTCTGTTGATATTATATTTTCGCTTAATTCTAATTCCAACTGCTTTCAACAACCGATATACATAGTATTTCTAAAATGAAATATAAAACCAAACAAATCAATAAAAGTGCGAATATATAACTGATTGAGTGATTAGAAAGTTCACTTTATTGTATTGTTAGCGTGGAAATTGTTTTGAATAAAAATTTACGCAGATATAATAATAAAAAAAAAGAAATTGTGAGATTCATTTTTGAAATTGACACTACATACATCACCAATAAGTTTCAATATAGTAAGTAGTCACCCTAATGATGAATTTAGGACTAAGATCAGCTTAATATGTGTATATGGTTATCGAGAATGAAGAAATGGTAAATTTTGTTACATAAAAAAATGTTTCCCAATCCAATTGGGATCAAATTAACAAAATGATGGTTTTAATTCTAGAAAAAAATGTTTTGGCAACGGTTTTACCTAGAAAAACGATAACTGTTAACATCAAGTTGGTCAAATGTTGATTGCTAGTCTGTTATTATTACACACTAAAATTACTTATAAATGTTTCTACATAGACCAACAATCTTTAATATTATTAATACTCATCGTGGTAACTAACCTTTCCTTTACTTAATCCTCCTACAAAATCTATCCACTGAGTACCAAGTGATTTATGATGTATGGTTGAAACTGATTGAAATACATCTTGTTTCTTAAGTTGAATCGAAACAAAACGAGCCGTTTGCCACATCTATAGAAAAAAAAACAATTGTATATTGAAGCTCTGGGTTTATCGCTATAATGAAACAATACTTCGTACGAAAATATTTTGATAACTACATTTGGTTTCTCAAAACTTTCACAAACTCGATACTAAAGGACTAGGTCTTTATAGTTTAGGGAAATAGAATTCATGACCTAGATTTTCACAAGTTTTAATTTTTACAAAATCACAAATTTTTGCAGATAATTCGCAAAAATTCACATAAATAATCGATGCATTCATAATAAGATGAAATGATCCCTTTAAAATACATAGTTTATGGTAAAATGATAATTTTGTTGAAAACATGATGTTCATGTAAGAGGGTATAGATGTTTATGAGTTATTCATTTACAACTCAATAAAAATGCAATACTCTGTTAACTGTCAATTAGATTTCGGACACATTATTCCCTTCATTTCAGACTAATCAACATGATGTATTGTTATAGCAGTTATATACGTACCAGAATATAAATGGGCTGTAGCCGCTCACGGAACGATGGTTACTAAAGTAGTCGGACGTTTAAAAAAAAACCAAATACGCTTGCCTGAAACTAAGGCATTGTACACATGTCATATTATTTTTTAAACCAGGGTTGTGATCATAAAAAGTTGAAAAAACACTAACAAAAGTTATCCCAGGAATTTGTGAGTTTTAATACTAGTCGAAATTATTTGAACTAAATATATCCTGCTCATCATATAAAGATATGTAAGTTTGTTGTAAATTACGACTTTCAAAACACCTAATAATGAATTTTGATATGGTATGGGATTATTTTTCTGGCTTTCTATAGGAATACATTCTAAAAACAAAGATTATGGTTAACCATTAAATTTCTGAAGGAGTCGCTAAGAAGTGACACAGAATATCAGATTTTCTTTTTGATTTACCCAAAACACGGTTAGATTAAATGAGAAACCTACATTATCAGGATTAACACAAACTTTTAGCTATTCCACCTTTTGTAATTAAAACTCAAGGACAATAACTCAACAGCCTAAATTAATTTTAAGATTAATAAGTTATTAGTTTAAATTCTTGTTTCATTCATAAATTACATTGAAATTAACAGGGTTACATTATGCTATCTTGAATCTATCGAAATAATTAGAAAACTAAATCATAGAAACTAGGAATTACATTTTACCTTATTACAAAATTTCCTCATTTCCAATACAGTATTCTCATCAAAATTAATATGTGACTGAGATAATTGATGAGTTAATAATGCGGCTCTTAAAGCATCTGCACCTAATACTTGAATTGATGATCCAACAGTTTCCTGAAAGAACAGTAAAAAAAACGTAATGTGTAAATAGTTTAAAGACAAAATAAAACAACAGAAACACAAAACCGTATGTTAAGTTTTAAAAAAAAAGAGCAACTGATTCAATTCGCCTTCAATCGAACTTGTCACATTTATAAGAAAGATATAAAATGGTAAATAATTTAAGCAAATTATATTAAACAGATGATGACGTTTATACTAGCTTGGTGTAAGATAATTGCCAAAACAGAACATTCATGTACCCGGGTTTGAACAATGCTGTATTTATGTAGTGGATAGTAATACTGGTAAAATGGTTAATAAACATTGAACTATCATTTAATTAAAAAAGTTGTGAAATATTTGACGCAACAAAATTAATTCTCAACAAACAACGAATAACCCATAGTGTCATTGAATAAGAATAAAGAGAATTCAGCGAAGAACATTTTCTTTTCGACAGAATCATTTACTCAAGCTGTACATTCGTATATACATGAAAAATATATGATTAGCACGTAACCTCATTTGTTATGTATTCTCGAATCAATTTATAATGCAATCTTTCCTAGCCTCCTATAGATATATATTTTCCATATAACTACATATACTGACGTGCAGCTTAAGTAAAGGATTTCGTCGAAAAAGAAATCTTCGTGGAATCCTCTTTTCCTTATTAAATAAAAAATAATTTATCATCTTTTATTATTAATTATTAAATTAACATTATTTATTCTTTGTTTTTCTACTTCGAAATACAATAAAATTTTATTATAATCAGTGATATATATACAAATGTACCACCATATATTTGTCTTCCAAAATCTAAGTAATAATGATAATAATATTAATATTTTTACAAAGAACCAAAGATCCCGAACCACTCCAAGGTAGTGGTTGCAGAGGAGGAGGAGGAGTATTCCACTTGAATGATTGTTTCAAGGATATAATCAACAAATCTAATCAAATAATAAAATTATTATTGGTAAAAAATTTTGAAGAAAACAAGTTGGAACTTAATAAATAAAATATGAACAATGCAGAGTGAATACAACTAACAACATCTAGTAATATGAAAAAAAAAATTAATTCCTGAAAAACAGAATAAAAATTCAGTAGAAATAATTATGGAAAAATAGTTAAGATCTGAGAAAATGGACAGAAGAAATGACATTCAATGAGATATAAAACAAAAGAATAAAAAAATAAGTTTATTACAGTTAATTTAATTTTACAATCGTTAATTACAATAACAATAATAATGATAACAAAGAAATAATTTTTAATTACAATTTTAAGAAGTAATTAGTTTAAGGGTCAATATGTTTGATTTTTAACCACTAAGTGCTTGATTTGAACCTCGCTTCATCTACTTCTGTTAAGACAACTAGGGGATTTCGTTGTGATTTACATTTAGAGTATGGTTTATATCCAATCACCTGGTGGTGAGTGACCTAATCTATTTGTTTATATAGTTGGAAATAGGTAGTAGTATTATTGAAAGCTTTATACATATATTAGATCGAAGATCGGTTGGCTTATCAATAAAAGTAACGAGAAATTTAGAATAAAACAACTTTGATGGTGACGAAAATTTTTGTTCAAAAGAATAAAAATAAAATGGGGAAAAGAGAGAGAGAAGAAAAACTAAGACATCAAAGGCGAAATAGAAGATAAAAAGTGATAAGAAAAAGGTAGTTTGAGAGTCAGATCCACAAACTATTATGTTCATAGTTTACTACTCATCGTTGGTCAATACTAAATGTACAGGCATTGAAAACTGAGGGACACTTCATATCCAATTCCTATTGATCTTTAATGTATTAAATCTATTTATAGATACGTTACCATTGAATTTCGAAGCCTTTCTAATTCCATGTCGTTTGTCTTTTGAGATTATTTTAAATCTATACTTCAGTGAAGTTAAAAGTTACCTACAATTACATAACTTTAGATTATATATCCCAAAACACGTCATGCAAATGTACTACCTACTTATACAGTTAAAAATCTAATAAAACAAGGTTTTGATGATTCTACCATGTTGAGTAAAATATAGTAATAATTTACCTTTGGAAGGTTTCCAATTCCATGAATTATTTTCAATGGATTCACCGAATTGTTTTTACTTTTAGACATTTTTTGACCAGTTGAATCGCACACCAAACCATGTAAAATGACCTTGTTTTATTGGAAAGTAATATTGATTAAGTAAATTATTATCGAATGATAATTGTCAGTATAGGGTTGTGGAGATTGTTGAGTTCCATTAAAATAATGAACCAATCAATGTTCAACTGTGTCGGGTGTGAGACAGTTATCCCCCGAGGTCAATGAAAGATGGTCACACGCGATCGTGGATTGACTGAATCTAGACATTGACATCGTACGTTGCCGGTTTAGTGGTTAAAGGGTTAAGCGTTCACGCACGAGACCGGATCTTCTGGGTTAGATTCCCGTACCCTGAGTTGTGGATACGTGTTACTGACGAACCACATACTAGGACGAAACGGCCGTCCACTGCTTCTACGTTTTCAATGGTCTAACACCGATCGTTTCATGATCTGAATGAAACTTAACAATCTCCACAATCCTATACTGATAAAGTATTAAGAATGTATTATATAGTGAAGCATATCAACAGAACTCATCATTTAAGCTAAGTTAGTTTACCAGTTTTTTATCCAATTCATCTGTCCGTCATGATATAGACTACTTGCAACGATAATACTGGCAAACTAAAACTATTATATCAGAATGAATTGAACGACTAACTTTATAACATCAATAAGCAATTATTCAAGATGTATCTGACATATAAAAAAGAGTAGAATATTAAAAACATTATTTAGATGTCAGGTGGTTGTAAGTAATCTGCAAAATTCTGAAACGAGGTTTCGCGCTAGTCCGCACTCGATAGTAAGGCATACCTTGGGTTTTAAAGTACTAATGGTCCAAGTAAGGTAAACAGTATAACCCAGCTGCGACGTTTGAGACGTTATCACTGAGAAATACAGGTTGTCACTAGCATCCTGTAGAACGGAGATATTTACATAATGTTGGCGCCGAGTCACTTATAGGCAGTTGTCTGTTTTATAACTTGATCCGCACTAAGAATTGGACAAATATGATATTAATCGCTACTATTTAGTGATTAATCACTATAACTACTGTTTACCTGATGACAGCTCAGTATTATCACTAATCTGAATTGATAACAAAACATGGACCATGTGAATAAATCGATCTACTCTAACAAAATCATCCAAATCAAATATAAACAAGTATGTTAACGTTATTTTTTAAACAAAAACTTTTGTTTCGAGTAATCCACTTCATTTCAACGATATTAAACAACCAGTATGAATTGAGTTTGTTTTTCTTCTCCAGTTCTTTCAATTCACGTTGAGTTATGGAAATCTCACAATAGCATAGTATATTTCACATAAAATTGACTAGCATTTGATGATGATTGATGGATAATAATAATGATAAATATAAAAATTTACACAAACAAAAGAATAGTTTATCCTAAATACTCAGCTATTCTAATAAATACATAAAAATAAATGATGACCAACAATTAAGCTGATCGATTTTCGATTTACATACAGTTTTAAATGGAACTTGTCCTGTTAGAAATATACCAAGCATAACCATACGAGCAATCCAAAAGAATAATATATCCTGTCCACTTTCTAATAAACGCAGAGGATAGAAACGTCGTTCTTTGGTCTAAAGTAAGAATACACATATATATAAGTACAGATGAAGTATTGAAAAATTTTCATAACAGTAATAATGAATTATAATCTAGAAACAAATGTACATGAATTGCTAAAGAAGAAGCGATTGATAAACAACAATAATGGACAATGATAAAAGTTTACTTTGAAGGGATATGCGTAAAGATGGAATTTTATCGATCGAAATTTGTAATGCACTTCCTATTACAATAAATAATTTGACATCGATGTCATCAATATAAAGTTTGTTTTTTTGACCTACGTTTTCTATGTATGTAAGGTGTATATTTAATTTGGTTTTTCACCTGTTAATTAGAAAGTATAGAAACAGAGTCTATAGGTTTATGTCGGCTACATATAAAAAATTTACTTGGCCAAAGATGTTAATCATCTCACTTGCTCAAGTGGTTAATAAGATTTTTAACTTAAAGCTAATATTAACACAAACAATGAAGACTTGTTTCTGATTGTCAAGTATAAACTACTAAAAACGAACTCAAAGAGCAAAACATAATCGGTAGATAATTGAATCTAATCTATAAACCATATGAACAAATTATTATTGATGAAATATATGTCAGTATGATGAAGTACACAGATGATATGGAGATTTTTTTAGATCGAATTAGTCAGAGAGAGGTTCGAACCTAAGAACAAAGGTTTTTAGATGCTCACCATCTAACTCCATTATGATGTTGATGAAATATAAATCCTACTTAAACCATACATATTCTGTAGACAAATTTCGCTGGTAACAAAGTGGATATAAAACGTTGAATACGAGTACTTCGGATGTTTCATACATACAGACAAATAAAGAGGTAAGAAGCGAAGATTTCAAATGTGCCTACTCAAAATATTACTCATTGAAAGAGTTGATATAATTCAAGATAAATAATGCATAGTGAGATAAGGAAACAAGTATTATATAAAATAATGAATTTATAGACACACTAACATACATGAGATTTGTAAGTGTAGAACTACAAAGACAAAAATCTAAGCAGTATATGTGCTGAAGGTCAAAATTTCCTAGGTAAAGAATAAAGTTATTAGAAAGGAAAAAAAAGATTCAGCAGCAATATGCTGTCTAGATCTGTTCAAAAAATCAGGATCAGTCATGTGGGTGTGTAATAGAAATCACAACACATTCATAAAAGTAATGCTTCAATTACAAAGAGCTATAGTGGAAAATAAATACAGTATTTACTAAATGATTTTTAAACATATTATTACATAATTTGTAACTATCACTATATAATAAACTTACATCATTTGGCCAACCAAATACTGAAAATGGTAATAGTGCAGAACTGAACCAAGTATCTAAAACATCCGGATCTGTAATAAACAAACAACACTAAGTTGAAAACCAAGAAAACATTTGGAGATTTATGTACAAAAATTAGCGGATATTTCAGTTTCTTGTAATATAGTTCTAAACAATAATGAATATATTTTTGTAATATCCCAACGAGTAGAAAATTATATTTCTGACGTTTCGTAACTTAATGTGGGTCACCTCTTCAGAGTAAATAAAGGAAACGAAATAGAATTAACACAAGTTTAAATCGTACAAAGGAAACGATGTAGAATATTTTTAGTTCATTCAAAATCGTAATAGGTTTAAGCCTTTTGAAATCATGTTCTTTTTTGATCAAGGTGATTTTGTATGACATCTATGTATTTGTGTGTATGAAGGTGATTTACATGAAGTCACCAAACATCAGACATACAATTTTCTACCCATTAGGATATAGAAAAAAAATCATTACTAACTTTCTACCCAATGTTCAATTCATTTGAAAAACTATCAAGTCCAACTCTGATATTAGTTTTAAACAGTTGGATGAAAACCAAAAAATAAAGTATTTTTCAACTTAAATTTTATAATTTTCATCTCAACAAATTAAAGAATAAAACTATTGTGAAGAGAATCTAATTATTATTCAAAAAGTCTATACTGTCTAACTAAACGCTATGAATAACCGAGTTCATTATATGGACTGCAGATTTTTTTCCTTTTGAAGCGTTTATAACCAAACAGCTTTTTTAAAAAAGTAAACAACTTGGCTTTGTCAATATTATAGTTAGAAAGCTTGAAGTGTATTGACTATCCTTTACAAAACAATTTCAAAAGAAACAAGTACATATGACAATCGATATCGGGTAGAGACAGGTATCTACTTCCGACGATGGATGAAGGGTCGCGCGATATCATGGATGGATTGAAGTTAGACATTAGCACCGTTGGATGCTAGCTCAGTGGACTAGAGGTTAAGCGTTCGCGTGCAAGACCGAAGGTTCTGGGTTTGAGTCATGCATACGTGCTGCGGAGTAGTCCCATACTAGTACGAAACGACCGTTTGATGCTTCCAGGTTTTCAATGGTGGCCTAGGCTAGATCGACTAATGGATTCCACAAATCCCCATTCTGATTAGAAAAACATGACAAATGTCAGGGAAAAATAGGATAATTTATGAAAATAAATTACTGATATGACATTTGATTTTGATTGATATCTTCGACATTGATATTGATCATGAATACTGGACAATTGAATAACATTTCTTATAACAAAAAAGTCATTTCATACTGTAACTGTCAGATGATATTATTCATATAACATAAAGGTTCTATTCTATTAAAAAAAGATAATGAATAAATTAATGAAAAATTTTCCAAAAAAAATAACGATGAAATTTTCTATATATATATATATATATATATATATATATATATCACCTTGTATAAGCCGATGATCATTCGAGTGAAGTCCAGAATCAGTCAAAATGTTTACAGCTTCGTTTATTGAACGAGCTACAATCCACCGATCCGTATCATCAGAATCATTAGTTGATTTTGAGTTGGACGAAATAACCTTGACGTTAGACATAATAAGAGAAATAAAAGAAGAAACAACACTAATATTGATGAGAAATATAAAAATGGAATAGCTTACAGACGTTTTTCTTAGATTTATAATAAGTTTAAAATGGCTAGAATAATTTAAAAGATTCTATATCTATATCTATAGTTTGAAGTTCAAGAAAGTTTAAAATTCTATTACCATCATAATTTGTAAAATTTAATGGTATATTTCAAGATATTATAGTATGCACGGATGAACTACCAAAACCATAAGAGTTATGGATAGAAACACGATTATTGGACCTAATCGATTTGTATGCTTAAATAAAACCATAGAACGTTATCTAGACGAGAATCTTATTAACAATAGATGACTGAACTACATATGATTTCGAATTTTTCACTTGGTCAATATATAAATTCAAAGTTATGAAATTAATAACAAACTAATGGGGGGGAAACCAATACTTTCGCATAATTTTCTTATAGTTTCAACTGGTGAAAAAACGATCTAGTGTATGTGCCTAGGAAACTAGTTGCCAATGAAAGTGGAATATAAGCTTAATGACATTACTTGAATAAAATTAACAAATTATAAACAGGTGAATATATAGAGTAGCTTACTGCCTATTAAGTTTAAGTGTAGTAAAACATAATAAACATTTTTTCTTGGTAAAAAAGGAAGATGTCTTTCTACATAAGAAAGACCATTCTGGTATCATGATTACAAATAAATAAGCCTATTTTGATATGTGATAAGCAGGTTGTCCAACGAGTTAAATGTAATAAATAATTTGTAAGTAATGAAAAAGAAAACAATAGGAAGAATAAAGTAGTTATTCAATACAATTTTATTGTACTTAATTCTGAACAGTGAGATCGACTCAATTAAACTAGCAGTGAACTAATTACAAGTCAATTTTAATCTTGTGAATACTATATATGTATATACATTCGTCGTCCCCTATGGAAGTTAAATTATCTAAATAATTTCACCTGAATAATTAGAATGAATTATTACAAACATGGGGATGATGGTCAAAGTCGAAACCAAGATGTTTAAGACCTAAAAGAACTTCTGTTTAACCTGGACCAATAGATGCACTTAAAAGTCATATTATAAGCTAGTTAGCCAAAAGATTAACCTGGAAAAAATATTAAAAAGTGTCCCCACTTTTTGTCTGTATGGGAGAATACATCTATCGAATAGTTTTATAAACAATTATGGATTACGACAAACGATTATATCTGACAATACTTTAAACGGATATGAAAAAAAAACAATTATTGAATACGTCTCTGAAAGAATGATTTACAGTTTTAGATTTGTGTAGCAAATAAATTCAATTACCACAAATTCATTTAGAAAGGACTTATGCTTAAGAAATATTAAGGAAAAAAACTTATTCACTCTTTTTGAATTTCTTCTGTTTGCGTTTTTGACGACATTGGACAAAGATCTATCAGAGAACATGTGATAACTGAGGTATTTTAAGAAAATGGGTTATTCATTTTCTGTTTTATTTCAAGAAATTTAAAATATTGTTTGGAAATTCTATACTTTCATCAACAGCAAATTGACATCATTATTGGATTAAATGAGCACCTAAGTCATTAAGAACGATTTTGAGTCATGTCATTCCGAGTCTCTAGACATTAATTACAATAATCACGAGGACCCCAACCAGGTAGTCTACACCAATACGACTCAGTCGTCAATGACTTCAGAGACTAATGCCACGTCTTGGTTTGATTACACCTGGCTTTCTTCCAAACTATTCTGATACCAGCAAACATTGAGTGGTTATGCATACGAAATACATATCCTAACCATCTCAGTTGGCTAAGATCCATCACCTCGTCAACCAATTTGTCATCCTTACTTAGAACAGTATGTCTAATGCCCACTCGGTAGCTCAAAAATACATGAGCGACGCTTAGAGGATATCTAGTCTAGCAACAGATAGCGGAATAAATGAAGTGTGCTATTTGGATTGATTTGACAATCCATTAGATGCATGAGTTGCTGAACAGTTTGAATATATATTGAAAAGCCAATAATAAGGTAAACAGACATTCACATATATGTGAAAACAATATGGTTGAAACGTCATAATGAATTCTGAGAGATAAGTACAGAACAAATGATGAATCATACAGTTACATGACTACGTAAAGTTTTACTAATTTCGATCAGAACATATTTCCTTACATGTGTTGTATGATAAGTCAAATAATGCCTGAGATTGTAATTTAAAAATTGCATGCAACTTGCATGGTGATTTAAAGGTTAAGGGTTCGAGAGTAAGATTGAAGATCCTGGGTCCGATTTCCCCACCACTCATAGTGGATGAGTACAACTGAGGGGTCCCAATACTGGGGCAAAACAGATGCCCAATGCTTCCAGGTTTTTAATGGAGGTCTAACTACGATTGGTTCATGATTCAGATAAAATTCGACAATATCCACAACCTCCAGTACTGACAAATAACATTTTGGTATGGTTTTGTCAATAAAATGTAACATTTTAGCTACATTTAATAGAATACTTAATTATAACTACTTTCTGATTATACTGAACAAATATATTTACTCACTCAACATAGTAACATCTTGTTCTTTTGAATAAAAAGATTAAGAAATATTTGAAATCATCTTTCATATTTGTAAAGTAGGTAGAGACACCAGTCTATGGGTATGGTAACCATAATACAGAAATACAAAAAAGGTACTAAACTTTTAAGGACTATCAAATTTAGAGATAGTTTCTAAGCGAAATCTTTTGCTAAACCACGATTATATTGGCGGCTGGAAACACACAACAGATAAAGTTTTGACAAGAGGTCGAAAATCAATGGTGAATACGAATACTGAGCTGTTTATGTGAACCTCTGAAACAGAGGCTAACATGAAGAACAGATTCGATTGAACATGAAATAGTAGAATGCCACAAGCTAATGACTTACTTTATAAGCTGGAATAGGATGACCCCAATAAAGCTGGCGACTTATACACCAATCTTTATGATTCGTTGGTTTTAACCATTCTGACCAAATTAATTTTTGATTTTCTGGAAATAATTCCAGCTGATTAGAATGAACAGCCTTTAAGCATAATATGAGTTCACAAAGAGATAAAATTATTTTTTTAGAAAATACTAAGACAGATTCAAAAACATAGCTATTTCAACTTTTAAAATATTATGTAATCTAATCAGAATACACCATGAGATTGGAAAGCGTTAGTAGTGTAAAGTAATCACTAAAGATATAAATGTACTCAGTCATCATTTCATACATTACTGTACAGTTTTGATTTGTTCTAAGATACTGTACTATAAAATTATATGAAAACATATAAAATCAGATATATTCACATAGATATTGCTACTAGTATTTGAAATGAAAGTACATCTGGCAGAAACTAAATACAAGAAATGTAATGTATGGAGCAGTGATTTAATAACGAAATTCATAAAGATCAAATGAATCAGAATTATACTATTTGCAAGGACTTTCCACTAAATCTATAACAGATATTTAATAACTCGCAGTTCCTTGCGATGAACACTTCTAAATGTATCTAATGTTTATGAAATAAGTTGAAATGTATTATAACTAATTTTAGCATCCATTTATGCGTATAACAACTCATATCTATAATATTTGAAAAAGTATGCGTAAATAGCATATATTAATGTCTCTTGAGGGAACATCGTAATTAAAAGAACCAATTTCAATCAGATTACGTATAGTCTTACACCAGAGACCATGGTTATTTCACTGTTTCTGAACACAATTTTAATACGTATTTAGAACTTTTTTCTGATATTAGAGTTGTTTATTGAATGACTTGAGTTTGAACTACCAAAAACTTGAACGAGATTTTTAAATGATCAATAAGAGTAGGGAAAACAAAAGAATGATGAGGTGAGATAGCTTTTACAAGTTTAATGAATGATTATTATAACTTGAAGATCTTCTCTACAATTCTGAAACCCATATCATTATAGTTTTTAAGTAATATAATTGATTTTTTCAAAAGTTGTTCGAATTTGATATTGTTTTATCAATGCTCAAATCAAACAATCTGGCATTGTGACCTATAAGCAGATCTATGCATCATAAATTATGTTCACCGTTCAAAGCTACAGAGTTTAACTACTACTTTTACATCGTCAACCGTTCCAATCATTTTAAAGAGTTTGTAAAACATGATCATAACAACTTTCTGATGTAAGTTATCTTCTCCATTTACGTCAATTTTTTTATAAGAAATAACAAAATCAAAAGTAAACACAACATGATTAATTCAATAAAATGATTACACTTCTCTGTTGAAAGATCAATTATTATCTAGCGAAAAAAAGAAAATATTTCATTTGATTAGAAACTAACTTACTTTCACTGCAGCCTCAGCTAAATCTTTCGTACGTACAAACCATTGTTTTTTAATCATCGGTTCAATAATATCCCCAGAACGGGAACAAATTGGTAATAATGCAGGTCGACATCCATTGGCTCCAATATTTTCCCGACGTTTATATAGACCAAGTTTAGTAAGTTGTTCGACTAAACGTTGACGTGCTATGAATCTGGGTAATCCCTGAAATACAATTAATGGTAAACACATATATTGAAGTTAGTCAGATAAGTGATAAACAAACTATAATGGAGAATTTCATTTCAACGATGATAAATAGGTTCATGACTATCTAATTTAAATCCGTATTGACAAAAAATCTTATGACATAAACACGATGAAAGTTATGATTGATTAATTACTGAGTAGTGACCAATGCTATGTTTGTCTAATCATTTAGTGTGGGTCAAATTCTATTGATCGCATTGCGATGCGGCCACTAGTACAATTGTAAATAACTCAACTTCACAGATCAATGCAGCCGGAATAGTTCATTGGTAATGACCAATACTTCAAAGTTCAGTGACATAGGTTCTAATCCATCAAGAGGGATACATTTCCTTAGGATTATAGGTATATCTTATTGACAAGTGTCATGTAGCAAACAAATAAAGATTCAAAGATTCCTGTCGACAACTTCTAATCACTTAAGAGAATAACAAGTCAATTAATCACTTAGTAAAATGTGTCTCGTAATCAATAGACCAATCTAGTTTTTGAAACAAACACGACCACTAACTGATATCGTTTAAGATTATGAACTGGGTTAGCAATCTGATAAATCTATTCCATACATTCACACTCAATTTTGTAGAACAATCAGCTTAATTTAGACTCACGGAGACATCAATTAGTGATAAGCTTCTTAACAATATTAATAAAGAAAACATTGATTAGAGAAATTCCAAGTGATGAACTAGCGAGAATTTAGTCACAAAAAGTAATGTTTTTTTTTGTTTTGAAAGCTACAAAAGCACTCGAATCTTTTAAATCGTACTACTCAAATAATGATGAAATTGGGAAGAATACACAACTACTGAATGTGAACAGGGCAAACAAAACATTTAGTAACTATTAGTACTTGATGGGTGATTAGACTGACAGCTATGAGCAGATAATATTCCAAGTTTATTTGAGAACACTCATAGTGTACTTAATTGTTATTTCCATCAGAACAACTGTATAACAACACAGTAGACAATAAGAAACTGAAAATGTGTGTAGAAATCAATGATGAAAAAAGCGGAATTACGAGTGATCAACATTTTATTTAACTTTATAATGCAAATAGTGATCTACGTCAACTTTAACTCTGTTTCAATAAACAAATATTAGGATGTAGGTATCATTACCAAGGTTTGAGTTGATAATTTCTAATAAATTGAGCATTGGGTAAATTGTTACAAATAAAATAATATATTCATAATATCCCAAAGAATAGAAAAATTAATTTTTTTAAGTTTCGTGATTCAGTGTAAGCCGCTTCTTCAGAATTCGGAGGATTTTATCCTTTTACATATCTAATAGAACTTTAATGTATGCTTGACAATGGTTAGAGATACAAATGTATTCTCAGTATAGGGTTGTGGGGATTGAGTTTAGATTGATATCATGAATGGACCAATGTTAGACCACCATTAAGAACCTGGAAGCACTGGATGGACGTTTCGTCCTAGTATGGGATTCCTCAACAGTGCGAATCCACGATCCCGCACGCCGGACTCGAACCCAGGACCTTCAGTCTCGCACACGAACGCTTAACCCCTAGACCGCTGAACCGTATTCCTTACATTTCTAACTGTAAATCCGTGGAAAAAACATTTTGAGAACAATAGTCTGTCTAAATGTAACCTACTTTTCAACAGTCAGTTTCAATCTTCATACTTGTTATGTTAAAGTAAAATCTTTAACAGAGTAAATAGGAGTATCCAATAAAGGAAAGGTAGTTTGCTAATAAAACTAAGCACATTTTTGAATTCGAGTGAGGTATGGGACAACGGTAGCTCAAAATAAAGAAACCGTTCTTAATCCCAAATATTAATAAGTGGCTGTAACATGAAAAAAACTTCGGAATAATGACAACGTCACTGTTTGATACACGTTACAATTGAGTAAATTTACAAACAGCTATTTCCACATGATACTTCAGATCCGTTGGCCGAGCACCATCAGCAACAGCCTGTATTAACGGAGAACAAACCAGCTTTCAGCTGAGGAGAAAAGTAAGAAAAGACTCTGGAGGTGGATAGGATACAAATTGCGGAAACCAAACGGCATCGCGAGGGAAGCCTCAACTTGGAATCCTCAAGGTGCAAAGAAAAAAAGAAGACCGAAGAACACATTGCGCCGCGGATTAGAGGCAGGCATAAAAAATGAATAGCACTTGCAAATAACGAGAAAGGGGAGCTCAAGATAGAATCGGTTGAAGGATCCTGGCCGGTGGCCTATGCTCCATGTGAGGTAACAGGTATAATTACGTAAATTTAAATAAACTAATCGACCTACGATCATTGGGTTGTTACATATCGTCTTTCGATAATGAGTGCCCGGTCAAAAAAACACAGTACGGGACGTTCGACCTTTTAATCCTCAGAACAATAAAAAATCACTAAGTCTATGATAATAGATAATTTGAAATTACCTTTTTTTTAAGATTTAAGCAATATTAATTGTACTCTTTTCATATATAAGTTCTAGATTTAGATCCTTCCATCTGTCATTAAACTAATATTTCACCTGAACAATTATCATCATGTACATTTCTAAAAATTTAATAAATTACACAATGATAAAAAAATAATAAAATAAAAACAATGAACAAAGACTTTTTTAAATTGATATAAAAAATAACTTACATCAAATTCAGTTCCTGTATTTGTTATACAGCCAGAATTATCGAAAACATATTTAACAGGGAGTTGATGCCGTTTAGCTACTTCCCAATCAACTTGACTATGACCTGGGCTGAGTTTTACAACACCTAATAATCAGTTAAAATTTAAAGATTAATGGTAGAAATTTTATAATTAATATATAATATATCTTTAGACGGCAATAACTGAAGAAGTTACCAGGTACCTTGATGCTCTTTAGTAAAAATAAACTTCAGTACAGTTCAATTCTTTAGTTATGTTCAAAAAATTTTTCCTAGATTTATCAAATTGATTTTGCTGGGATTAGTTTAATTGGTGGGTGCTGTTCATTACAGATTGAGTTTATTTGAGGCACTGATGAAAACATAAGAGCATTTGATAGCTGTTTCAACCTAGTACTAGAATTTTTAACAGTGAATACCAAAATTTCGTTTTATTCTGTAGCCATACTTAAATGATCGTTAGATCAACAATGAAATAGAACTAATTAAGTTTAGAATATGTCACCAAGTAGTTTTGGAAAATTCTATCAGATAAGAAGTAACGAGTATAACTTTATCGGTGTTCTACAACAATTTAAAATAGTGATCACAAAACATTAAAATCATTACGTAATAAGAAGTATGCTAATAATTAGATAGTGAAGAATACAAACGGAAAGAAGTGAAAAATTACAAACAAATGATAACAAGATTAAAAATAAAATTTCAAAAAATTAAGGAAAGAGTAATGATAATAATGTCATTTGTTATGTCCGGCCATGGAAGGGATAGGAGGGTTACAAATTTCTTCTGTACACATAAATTGAGGTGAAATGTACGAATTCCTATGGCTTCTGACATATGAAGGAGACGGGAACGAACTCTGTTGGGAAATGATGGAGGTATACCATAGATCACTCGAAATGATTTCGATTTATCTACATCTCTTCCTAGCTAAGCTAGAAAATGGACCACTTAAGGAGGCTATTAAGAAGCTTGATTTATACTGCTGCTACATCGTCGACACACTCATTGGCGTAGACCAGAACACCAGTAGGGATAAACTACTAGAACAGTTCAACAGTGTTCATCCAGCGCTTAGTTTCACTGGTGAAGGTGAGTGTGACAAAAAGCTGAATTTCCTTGACATCACACTAAAGAGGCGAAGTGATGGCTCGTGAAGTAGAAGTGTGTATAGAGAAAGTCCCTCTGCCTGCCAATATACTCACTTCTATAGCTTTGCGCCTATACAATATAAGAGAAATTTGGTTAGATGCCTCACTAGTAGAGTAAAAAAAAGATCTGTTCAGTAGGTACTTTAAGTCCGGAGCTGGAATTTATCAATAACTTACTGACAGAGATCGGCTACCCTAGTAAGTTCATTAAGTACATGTATGATACAAGGAAAAAGTTTGAGATTTCAACTGTTCGGAAGAAACCGTTATACATGAAACTACAATTCAACGGGGATGTGGCTAGTGATACTCTGAAAGATATGTTAACGAAAGTAATTAGTAGGACATTCTACGCAGCCAATCTTGCGTTGACTTTCTCGAGTCGACCAGCGATGTCTACTCAAACGAAGGAAAAGATATCTGAGTTGGCCTCCTCTATGTGCATTTATAAGTTCAGCTGTTCCTGTGGAGATAACTATATCGGGCGTACTACTAGGCAACTTAACCAACGAATGAGTGAACATCTACCAGGATGGTTTGGGAAGGGCCAGATAAAAACAATACGCAGTTCTATCTTGTCACATCTAATTGATAGTGATCATAATGTAGATAAATCGAAATCATTTCGAGTGATCTATCGTAGACCTTCATCATTTTCCAACGGAGTTCATTCCCGTCTCCTTCATATATAAGAAGCCATAGGAATTCGTACATTTCACCCCAATTTAGTTCTACGACAATTGTCAAACAGAATTATTTGCCCCAACTATCCACTAAAAGTGTACTCCTAAGTGAGTAATTTTATACTGTATTCCGGTTATTTACATTCCATTCAATTAAATATATTATAAAACATAATAATTAAATATTAATGATTAATAAAAATGATATTACAGATAACCACTGAAGCTCTACTTAGTATCATAAAAAAGATATAACAAAAATACATTCGATTAACTATCAAACCGTCAACTATTGGACGTCAGGCATAACACGTATATATATATATATATATATATATATATATATATATATATATATGGAAAGAAGTAGAAAAGAAGGTTCAGGGCAGAGTGGGTTGGAGAATGCTGGTCGGCGGCCTATGCGCCATTGAGGGTAACAGGCGTAAGTAAGTAATTTTTAGTTTGCTTATTTAGACTTGTAGCGAATAATTTATTAGTACGCATAAAACAGTTGATTTTCACTCAGATTCAACTATACAACTCAACAACTTATTTTTCACGTTACATGTAAATATACTTCAAAATCATAGCTCACTTTACTAAAGTTCAAGGGGGGGAGAAAAACAAGAACGACCTGGGCAAAGAAACATGAATTCCTAGGCCTTTATCAACTAGTTAAGACCTGTACTTTCAAATAACATACTTATAGAAATGTAACCGGTTACAATTCATTTTTAACATATATTGACATCGTATAACAAAGGCTAAATAATGTTTTAGCTAAATAATATTCAAAAGAACATTTTCAAACACTGTATTACAAAGATTTCACAATATCTAATTTCTTGAATATGTATTAATGCTTCCTTGTAACAATAGCCAAGAAAAACATGTTTTTTTAATCTGTATTTCCGTATGACCTTTGCTATTTTCTGATTGGTTATTGGCAATTTATATATCCTAAGGTCATATTGATCACTATAAGTAGAGAGAGTAGTTCCACTGTGATTTTGTCTTCATAAATATCAAAGTTCTTTCTGAACTGTTGATTTGTTTTTGGAGTAGGGATCATTATTGACGAGAGGCGTGTCAGTGGTCACCTTAACGGGTTTGCAATAAGTTCTATTTGTATTAGCATTATCTCGATAGTTCGTAAATGGCAGTTGGCCAAACAGAGCACAATCGCAGGATACAACACACTGATTAGAATGGTAAATAACGACAATATAGTTTGAATAGGTTGGTTATATAGATTCAAAAATGAACACATGTCAATACACGTGTTTACAATGAATTCTGATTAATCTTATTTATACGTGTATGTTAATCTCCATTTATTATTTAAATAGGTATATGTTACGAGTTGTAAAAAGATAGCTTAAACTGAAGGAAATAAAATGGATTCATTATATTCGTCTAAGGCAAATTAGTTTTTCATTGATGTAAAAGAGAAAATTGAACGTTATTTCAGTGGCAAACACAAATATTTTAGAAACTGAGTTCATTCGAATGCAAACGACCGGTTCACAATATGTTGACTGTGATACACATGCTTCAAGCGCTTCTCCATAAACAATAATATCACCAGGTACCTATAACATTTCATTTTATTCAGAATAAATAATGTGTTTGAGAAAATAATGATAGCTTTTTATATTTAATCATCAAGCTGTACCAAAGTGGTATGTTTCCTCCAATTCATTTCAGAATATATTATTCTCCCACATATTTGTTGAATGAATATTATAAACAGAAGTAAATTATACCACAAATCTTACCTGTACCTATTTCAGGCTGAACTAATTGTGCATCAGCAATTATCGGAAGATGTTCATTTGGATAGAATGGATGTTCTACGTAACACCCAATTAAATGTTGATAACGTTTATCATCTGGATGGACAACTAGAGCTATACTAGCAAGCATTGTTTCTAAACGTGTAGTCGCTATAACTAATTCGTCCAATCTAGAAATATAAACAATAATTGAATGAGGAAACAAATATATAACCAGTAGTGAAGTATGTTGAAAAATGTAAACCAAATTATGGTGATTAATTAGCAGAATCCAACTGAGATTGAGGGCTAGATAATATGAAACAGATAGTTACTAAGTGGTCATTTGGTGTGAATCTTTGAGTTCTATGAGAGGTCGATCAGAACTCAGAAAGTCAATTGATAGTGTATCATACATACTCTCTCTTTCTATGTAGCTGGATGGCTCGGGTTCTAATTCGAGAAGAAATAACAGTTCCTTTAAGACTATACAACCATAAGTCACATGTACTAAACACTAAATATTCAGTAGTCGAATACAATCCAATATAAAAAAACTGAGGGTTACATCAATTATGCAGTAGATATCAGAAATCCACATATATTAAAACTAAAGAAGTTACAGAGAGACACATAATACTTATGTGGCAGTTGAGAATCGAATCTTTAGCTAAAGATATTCTCAAAAACTAAAAGTCTACATTATTTTCCTACTCAAAAAGTACATGACTAGAAGCAAACTGCTGAGTTTTAAGATTTATTCCAATTACCTACTACACTAGCAAACAGATTGAAAGCTTCTGGAAAAGAACCCAGTGGTGTATGTATTACTAACCCTCATCAAATAGGAATGACTTGGAATATAACACATAAAATTGCATGGAGTTGGTGATGAAATGGTGATATCTTTGTGATTTATTTATCAGAATTACCTTGGACCAGGGTGATTACATTCTGATAACAACGATTTTGGTGGATCTATCAGACGAAAGGCAAAATAATCCATTACACCAAATTCAACTGGCTTTTCATAACCTGGTACATTGAGAAATGTCGACTCTGAAATATCACGAAATTCAACCTTTCAAATCAAAAAATAGGAATAAAGGTAAAAATAAAGTTATGGAAAGAAAGAGTAATCTTGAAAAGACAAACATTATGACAATGACATAAAATTAACATACATTCAAGACATAAACGGGACTTAATGATCACGAGTTATTGCTGGTAATATTTTTGACTTGAAGTTTAAAAACACGTGAATTTTGGGTTTTCTCAAGTGATAAATAATTGAGTCAGTTTTGTGATTGGTAAATATACTATTGAAATAACTTAAAATACTTTATTGTTTGCAATAATACGTAATACGTTAATAAAGTGCAGACAACAAACATTGAAAATAAATCTGCTCTAAATACATAGGCATTAATTTTATAAATAACATAGCTTAATAAATTTAGTTTGGTGGTCTAGCTTCAACTGACTCATGGTCTCAACTATGAAAATACTGAAATCTCCACAAAAACTCCCTTTGATAATAATCAAAATATGCTCACTACTGACTGGCTTCAAGAGGTATTTCCTGGAGTTCTAGTGAGAAGCAGTGACCAGTGGAGTTCAAACCACGTCTGTTGTGAGATAGGAACTCACTGAAGACGATTGGTGAACGGTTGCTCAACTTCGTGGATTGGTTGAAGTTAGACATTAACACCATCGGATGCCAGCTCAGTGGTCTATCGGTTAAGTGCTCTGGCGCGAGACTGGTAGGTCCTGAGTTCTAAACTTGCGAGGCGAGATCAGGGATGCGCATGACTGAATAGTCCCACAATAGGACGAAACGGTCGTCCAATGCTTCCAGCTTTTCCTTGGTGGTTTAGCTTCAACTGACTCGTGGTCTCAACTACGAAAATACTGAAATCTCCACCAAAACTCCTTCTGATATTAATATATAAAACAATTAAGTTTAACTGTGTAAGTAATTATAAATATATTCTTTGATCATACAAGTTCGACATACGTAGGAATAAAACAAGCGAATTCAGAATGTAATCAACCACAGAAAAAAAGTATCTTCCTCCTGTGTCCTATAGTTAGTTCTTTGGAACCTCAGATAAAATTCGAAATTTCTCATCCATTTTAATAGAACTTCCATATTACATCAAATTAGTAAAGATGGTGTAGTTTACAGATTGTTATTCTTCTGCACAATAGCGACTATACGTTGTTATGAACAACAGAAATATTGAGTTGGAATTAATAAATTACTTATAATATAATAATTCGAAACAATTCTCCATTTTTTCTTAACTTACTTCGATATCAGAGATGGCTGTTTGAAGATAACAACACCAAGATATAAAACTTTCCGACTGATAAATCAATCCTGCATTGTACAATCTTAAAAATGCTTCAGTGACACATTCAGAATGGCTCTAGGAATAATTTTGTTTAAAAATGTGTTATGAAAATTAGAATGAAATGATAACAACGCAAAAATTAGTAGATATAAACCCACAATCAATAAAATGGAACTGAATTTTTTCTTTCAAAAAACATATTTATCCACCAGTGATAAATGAAAAAGATGGAAGTGATTAAGAATTTGTTCTTATTTAAAGTCTTCAAAGGCAGTTAACGATGATGATTAATATAGAAAGTTCAGGTTTTGGATGTCCTGATAGATTGATGGTTCATTATCGCTACACATTAACAGAGTGTGATTTGTTTTGCGAATATAACCTTTCTGACTTAAAGGCATATTCAAATCATGAACCGACCTAAGTTAGACCATCACTGAAAACCAGAAAGCCCTTGATAGCTATTTCATCCTAGTATGGGATCACTCAGAAGTGCCCATCGACCATCATTGATAATTTTTCTAGGAATATCACTTTACAATTGAAGAAATATCTAAATGTAAGCCATCTAATTTGATTTTTATATTCAAGTGTTTGAACATGTAATTGATGGATTAACTGAATTGACATTTAACACAAATTTATTGATATGTATAGTCAATTCAGCGGAAAATACAAGACAGAAACTATGATAATCATTTAACTACTTACTAATTTTAATCTTTCAGGTACTATAAGATTACTATTGATATAGTTGCACAAAATATAATTAATTGTTTTCGTATAAAAACAGACAAAATTTCTTAAGCGAAATTACTAAAAAGCAATTCAACAAACAATTTTTAAGTTTCACTGTCAGTTTGACTTACAGGACTTAATGTAAAAAACTCTCTACTCCAATCCAAGCATAAACCAAGACTATTCAATTGTTCACGGATCAATTCGGCATGTCTAGAAATGATGGAGTACATAAAGACTCAGTGAAAGATGTGAACATATGCAAATCGCCAACAAACATCTACTTATATAAACCATCAAATGGAGAGAAAAAAACAATAATAGCGAGCTTGATATTAACATCAATGTTGAAACTAGAACCAATTGATTTTTGGAACTCGTTGGCAAGGTATACACCCGTGATCGTGAGAGACTGATGCTCGAAACTTGGGTTCAGGGTTTACTGTCGACTACATCTAACCACCATCTTACATCTCAACATAGTGTACGGAATGGGGAATTACTTAGATCAGTGGTTATGTTATAACTTGATCGATAGAACCCGATCAGCTCTAAAGTACCTGATATACATGACGTTGGTTACCGCTCAGTGATCAATCAGTTGTAAATACATCTCAGTCTTACAAGAGGTCAGTTGCGGCCCAAACTGTTCAGTGGTAACGTCTCTGACTGTGAAGCTAGATGACACAGGGTCGAATCTGTCAGAGAGAACCAGTTCCTTAAAGATAACAGGCACACTTTGTTGATGGGTTACAAATGGCACGAAGCCTAGGTTCAAGGTATCCTATCAACTTTCATCAACCACTATCCTTCAATAGCTCTATTCTCTTCTAATTTTTCAGTTGTTTCAAAAGACAAATCTTGTCAAAGGGATTTATTGAGAAGAACCAAATAATATTGAATGTACATCAACCTTAATTCATTACAAATTAATTTTAATGATTATCAACTGAGCTACTGTTATTTCAACACTAACTTTACAAACACGTTAATGTATGGAACTGTAACGTGAATGACTACCAAAAAATCAAAAGAATTCAAAAACAGCTGTCTACACAATATACTCCAGATCCATTGGTCAGAGACCATTAGTAATAATCTACTCCGGTAGAGGACAAACCAGCTGCTAGTTGAGAAGGAGATCAAGAAAGGACGGCAGGGGTGGATAGGATACCCTTTACGAAGACCATCATATTGGATTACAAAGAAAACCCTGACTTGGAATCCTCAAAGTAAAAAGAAGCAGACTAAAGAACACATGGTGCCCATAGTTGGAGACAGACATTGAGACCATGAATATCACTTGACAAAAGCCGGAAGGAAACGAGAGCCCAGGACAGAAGTGTTTGAAGATTGCTGGTTGGTGACCTATGCCGCATGTAGTAGTAGGAATAGGTAGATAAGTAAGTAATCTAAATTAAAATTATAGACTATTGGATTTATAGGTGTAGGATTAACCATAACCATGAGAAAATTTAGGACTGATCTTGTGAGGGTGGGAGCGAATGGATTATCCTAATAAGTTTAAAACTCTTTGATTCTTCAACTTATCCAAACTTGTGTGATCAATAAATGTAAACATCGCAGTCCTGCAAGTGACTAGTGGGAGCACATACAGCTCAATAGTAACGTTTCAAACTCTGAAGCTGAGTGGTATAGGTTCGAATTCCATAGTGGTTATAGGCTACCTCAAAACTGTCGTTACGATTTGTTGACATATACTGGTTCCAACCATTTTAACACTAGAAGACATGTCACACATAAAAAAGAAACAAATGCACTAACTGATTCTTCCAATCCCAAATACGTTGAATAAAATTTTCCCGTCCCAGTAATAACCTTGGATTTGAAGGAAACTGACAGCTCGACACTGATGACTTAGATTGATTATTAGGAAATTGACTAGAATTTAATGAATATTGTTTTAGTAAATCTCTTTCAACTATTGACTGCGTCGCAATTCCAGCATGGTCCATACCAGGAACCCATAGAACTGTTTTTCCATGCATTCTGTAACTAACAGAAAAAACTATCAAATAATTAACTATAAATCGTACCACAAGGTCAGGTGAATGGTATCATAACTGCAAACTAATGATAAACATTTTACTGCAGTGATGAATTTCAAAAACACTTATTACAAAATTAAATACTTGAGTGATGACTATTGGGACCAATGTTTACACAACATAATCCATAATCATATTCCTCTCTTCTTTATTAAGTAAGATCAACTTCTTTAAACCCATTGACATGTTAAATTATTTGATTAAATAATTATCAACTCAATGAATCTAAACAAGTGCATAGACAGTATTCCATTCACTTCGCAGTCTTAGTGCTAATAACTAGGGAAAACCATTGGCCGAAAAAAGTACATTTAGTACAAGGTGTTAAATAAAATTTCAATCAAATTGATACTGACCATATAACTATGAGCCCCCTAATGACCTGGTACGGTTGAGGGTGTGGACAGTCAGCTCTCCTTCTCAAAATGCTCTCACATGGCCACGCGTATAAAGCAACTACCTGGGAAGTATTACTCACTGCTTTCTCACAGTGCAAGTGTTGTTTACGAAATCGAGAGAACGAAAAACAAATGACCGGCGCTTTAACCGGGTTGGCGGACACATGGTATTTGGTGCTTCCTTGTACCAATGTTTGTGTTCAAATAAGTAAATAAAAATATATCAAAAGATGGCTAGCGATAGTGGTTTGAGCCTAATTATTTGTAGAGGGGATACTTTAGGTGTAAACAAAAATATACAAAGTTCAAGTCTAATTCAATGTAATCCACAAGAGTAAAAAATGACATGAGAATATTTAAAGACAGCACAAAAGAAAAGAAACATATGACGATGTGAAGTAAAAGATGTGGAATAAGATATCCAAGATTTGTAGAACTACAAATAATAAACACATCTACGTCATTGTAATCGATATTTAACCATAATACATAACGCGCTCAGTCATTGATAACAGAGATGTCACTCTGATCGCAATCAGAAAGCCTCCAGCTTCATATATCATTAACCTCAGAGGTTAACGACTCTATTATGAACTGCTCTTCTAACTTAACCCATACGTTTAGGTAACTGTTGTCCAGTAAACTCTCCCTCCTCTTCTCTACCAAAAATTAGCATCATAAGAAAATCCAAAACTTGGCAAAACGAATTAAGTGGAAAACAAATGACTTAGGGTCGTTTTATTTTAACTGTGAAGTCAAACATTATTCTCATTGGAAAAGTGATATCAAAAACTATTTAGATAGTATTCGCATAGTAAAAAATTCCACCAAATCACGGGTCACCTCAAGTTGATATTTTTTGAAAATAATCGATCTACAGTAAACAATAAACAAGAGGAATGATCATGAGTGGATAATACTTACCAACGAGCGATTGCATCTTGAATGGTACATGTAAGCGCATGTCCAACATGAAGTGTACCTGTGATATTCGGAGGTGGTAAAATCATGCTAACTATAGACTCGCTATGATTTGTCGCCAGCTAATAATGAAAGAGAAAATACATAGTTGTAAACGACTGATCTAAGAAGCCGAACAACTTGAACATATATTTAAAACAAAATTGGTTTTGTAAGCATATGTCTTATCTGTAACATGACTGAATTTATAAAATTTACTCTTCTATATCTATAATGAATATGACTAAATAAACAACCCAAAATACCACCTACTTACAAGATGTTGGATACAGAATTAAACTAAACAACGAAACGTTTAACATGACCGTTCTACAATATTTATTCTGATTATTGTTTACAAAAACAATTAGAAATCTTTATTTTGTATAAAATAGGCGGAAAACATGAATATATACAAAAAATACGTTCATTATTAATGTCTAACTAAAACAAGATGTAATTACGTACGATTAGGTAACAATTCCAAGTATTATGGTGTTCAATACTAATCAACGACATTAATCGACCAACAAGCGACCAGCTTATGAAGAAACCATTAATCCATGCGAACATCAGTTGGATGTGAAAGTAAGTAAATTAAATGTATGAATATATTAGTGTATTGATAATTTAAGAATCTCTCAATCAGTAAAGAACCTAAACACAGATATTATGTGTTATTAATATTCATTGATGTGATTTTTGACGCATTTCTTATAAAAAGAGGGTTAACAAAAAGACATATATTAAGTAACTAGAAACCATACACATTCGTTGTCATTATCCAAATAAAAGGCAGAAGAATATATGCTTGTTAATGGTAATAATAATGATGAATAAAGATTTTACAAGTCAGTATTCACTTACTGTCTTGTCTGGATTAAATAGTTGTAAACGATCCCATAAAGATTTACATAGATTAGGATTTTCCACTAAGGTTGGATTATACACAGATTCTGAATCTAAGAGATAAGAGAGATAGAGAAAAATATGGTTACAGAAATAGGTTTCTTTATATCTATTAAATATCAGTGAAACTCTATATATTTTCCACTTGTAACATAAACTGTTAACTGAAGTTTGATGTCCATCTTGCTTATACTTTCGTTTCACAGTCTGAATAAGTGACAGAGTAGCTAATAAAATTCCACAAACTAAAGGACGAAACTTGTCTCAAATTACTCAATATTATGGAAAAAAAATTTACTGAGTCAACGATGCTGTTAAAAACAAAGTAAATCTTTCAGATAAGTAAAAAAGTGAGTTATGACATATACTATAAGACTCAGAACAGACCTTGGATATGTTAAGCGGGATCATGGATAATATAACTGAGTAAAACGTTCAGCGCTTTGTCGAAAAATAAACAAGTCATGGAAAATAGAGAAAATTCCAAGAGTAGCATGTAAATAGAGGATTGTACTGTAAAAGCGTTCAAAAGTACAATTTTTGGTAGAAAATGGAAACATTGAAATAAGTGTATAAACAAGTGGGATAAACTATATGTGAAGAGAAAGAAATATCACTTGCTTAATTTCAAAGAGGATGACACACAAATAGTCTGGAAAAATACAAACTACTGGTTATTAGTAAGTAATATACAAAAAGAAAATACGGGATATAGTGAAAAAATTAATATGTAGTGAAAATATCGTTATCCATGCTGTTAAGTTGTAAGAATAATCTATTAGTTAATCTGTTTACCCATCGAACCACCAATGAACAAAAATTATCTAATTGCTTTTAGACTGTGATTTTAGATTGACTAAAAATGTACAGAAAAAGTTCATTTCTACCATATGATAATTACCGCAAGTTACACAACACAAGTCGTCTTCTTATATGTTTGTGATGTATGGTTCTCGGAGTACCAATCGTTTTGTTGTCAATTACATACCTTGTGCTACAAGAAACGAAATAATTCTTCCATAGAATAATGGCTATCCTGAACAACACATTATGAAAACCATGAGATTGAGACCTTAAACTACTTCAATTTTATAGCCTCTGTTCGATAAGTGATAAGTGTAGACCAATAAAATTTCTTTACCACAGACAGAGGAAGTTATTTTATAGTTGAAATCATGAGTCAATTGAAGCTATACCATCAGGGAAAACATAAAAGTCCTGGACGGCCATCTCGTCCTACTGTGGGACTCCTCAGCAATGAGAATCCACAATCCCGCCTCGCGAGATTCGGACAGTTGTGAATGTCTAATATCAACCAATCCGCTGATGATAACAGTCATATCGTCACTAGCAACTGGCTTCAAGAGGTATTTCCTGGAGTTTTAGTGAGAAGCAGCAACCAGTGTAGTTCAACCAGATCTGTTATGAGATAGTAACTCACTTAAGACAATGGTGGACGGTTGCTCAATTTCGTGGATTAGTTGAAGTTAGACATGAATATCGTTGGATGCCGGCTCAATGGTTCTACAGGTTAAGCTCGCGCGTGCGAGACTGATAGGTCCTGGGTTCGAAACTTGCGAGGTGGGATCGTGGATACGCACTGCTGACGGGTCCCACAATAGGACGAAAAGGCCGTTCAGTGCCTCTAGGTTTCCCATGGTGGTCTAGCTTTATTTGATTCATGATTTCAACTATAAAATTAGTAAAATCTCCACAACCCTCCCTTCTGATACTAAGTGTTTATTAAAATTAATATTTGATAATCAAAACCTTTCGATAAAATCCTGAACAAGAAAACAAAAGTGTACTTTTAACCATACTTCTGTTTAAGTATAAAAAATAATAGCAACTTACGTAAAATATCCCATCGAGGACTAGATGTTGATACAGTAGTTTCATTATCATTTGATATTTCTGGACAAACCGTTTTCCATCGAATGAAAATATTGTTCAGCCGATATCTTTTATATACTTTCTTATGACCACATCCAAGATGCAGCAGTATTCGCAATTGGTTTTGCATTCAACACTTTTTTCGTAAAATGTAGAGTTCAATAATCAATATAGTGTGGTGTAGCTGATTCATTAAGTGCTATTGTTCATGTACTCGATATTCGGTTTTACTATAAGTGTGAGAGCTATTCAAACTGAAATAGACAAGATAAAACTTGTAATTGTAATGGAAAAGTTGATAAATAAGTGCTTAAAATACTAGACAATAGATTCACATTCACATAAGATAATGTCTTATTCTGATTTAAAGCAAGTTATTGCTTTCCTTACTATATTAATCACATGAATATGCTAAAATCATTATTTTAAATCCAGTTTTTAAATGAGTACGAGAATTGTTTAATGTCTTGAGACAAATCACTTAAACGTTTTACATTATATGTTTACGATTGAAGAAACATGTCATAAACGCAACCAAATCTGCAATTGTTCTTTTTTTCAATAACCACACTTTTTCGCGGGTAATTACTAATTAAAAATGCTTGTTAATGTGTAAAATGTCTTCATTATGGATATCGGTTTTGGTCACTGATCAATATCAACTGGAGAATTATCAAAATGTTATCCACTGTAGAGCGAGAACGTAATGGTCCAAAAGTTAAATGCTTGTCACAAAATCTAAAAGGATTTGATTTTGGTACTTAATACAGTCGTCGGTGAGAGCACTGTTAAGGATTTCAATACCAGAATAAAACAGGTGTTTAGTGATTACTGATGGTTTTTCAAATTAAACTAATCTCCACGAATTTCTGAACCTAACATAATAGAGGGCGTAAACATAAATAAGATCAAGAAAGTGGAAATATCATAGGCTAGATAGAATGCTGTCAACTGATGTTTTACTTAACATTTTGAAACTGACTCAATGTAATTTTAGAGTTATACTTTTAATTACCATAGTAGTTAACAGGTATGATAAATTAATGTACATGCACAATTTGTAGTCATTATTGCCTTTTTTTAAATGTACTTTATTTGACAGGATTTAGTTATGAATAAGGAATATATATAATATTAAACATTTGTAAATGATCAATTAGTGCATAGAAGGATAAAATTTATATATTCCATTTATAAAATGAATTTAATTTTGGAAAGGAAACTTTTTCTTTATGGTGACATATATAAAGTTGATATCAAAAAGCAATAGTCTAATATGAGGATTATCCTGATGTGCTTTCATTTCAGTTAATCATACATGTTTTAAGGTTCATGGTATAAACAAACATGTTAGATATCATTTGAAAATTTGTAGTATATTCGAAATACTTCACTTGCGAAAGTTAACAAAACAACAAAATAGAAGATTGCAACAGTTGTATGCAGTAGAAAAGTCAACCAAGTTGACGGTGAAACGAATGTTTAATGGTGACAATGGATGGTAATAGAAGTAGCGAAGATACCACGAACTTGACATCATCAGATGTACAAAACTGGTGTTGCATACCGGCAAAAAACATCTTTCCAGTGTCCTCTGGTTCTAAGTTTTCGAAGTACTACATATCCAGATTTATTTTACCTTCAAACCTTAAAAAGTTCCTTATCTTCTTAGAATGTTATGCGTACGTAAATCTAACCTAGTGGTGAACAATGAGGACTTTGCTCAGGAAATAATACCCAACGTATGTGAAAGGAAAACAAATGGGTACGATCTGAAGTTTAACTTAAAAAGATTTAGTTAAAATAAATGATAGGGTAGGTACGAAAACGAATTTTACGATAACTTGTCAGAAACAGCACACCATTCACCACATGAGGACCGTCTCTTCCAGTCATCCAGGGAGTCAATATCAAAAGTTATAAGTTTACAGACGCTTGCTTAACTTTCATTAAGAAATATCCTCAACGTAATGCTATTCTCAACGTCAATTATTCTACAAGTACACAACAAATACTTGTTGATTTTCTGGATCTGTACAACTTTCGTTAGACATTTCTTTACATACTTTTCCAAATCCACATCAGTTGCTTCTTCTACTGCTAGACAGTAACTGGGAATACGAAAACGACTTTTATACTTCCTAGACATTTTAATCAATATTGTGTCAGACCATAGATAAAAGTTATAGCTGAGCTTGCTCGATCTAAAATAATGGTGAATTTTACTGATGATGTTTGGTCACAATCCTTAAAAGCCCCTGAAATTGGTCAATCAAGTCCTATCGCTCTTCTTAGCTCTTAATTTCTCTAGATCACCAAGGGTTTTAAATTCAACATTCGTCTCTGGATGAGTGTGAAGCGTAAAAGATAATTACGTAAACAAAGTTATTAGCAAGTTACCATTTTTGATTTTATAGTGCTCAACATCCAGCACTGGAAGTCTGAAACAAAGGCATGTATGTAATTTTGAGCTATTCTCTTCACTAACCACTCTTTTTGTATAAAGGCAGACTAGCTGGAGACGACCACCTATGAAAAAACCTTACTGCTGTCACACTTCAGTAAAGACAAAAGTATAACTATATCATTTATGCCCAGTAACTGTGAACTTTTGATCTTTAGAAAGGTGTGTAGATTCTCTTACTGGACCTAATTGCAGTGAAAATTTTTAGGCTTTAAACAGATAACCATTTCATCTTAACTATGCTTCAGTTTTATCATAACATAAGACTGTTTGACTGATTGCATAAGTAACAGAATCTTGTCGCAAACTAAAATGATTTTTAACGTTAGCCATAGAAGACCGCAAATTACGAAGTCATAGAAGATACGAGGAAATAGTTGATAAGTATTTGTTAGACAATAGATCCTACTTTCAAGTCTGTAAAAAAGATTTATTTTAAAAACACATATTTTTACACTACACAGAGAAAATGTCAAACTTTTAAAGGCTTATAAGTAATAAGGCTTATAGTAATCTATTGAAACTAACAATTTCTTTCAACAAATTGAAAAATCAAAAAGAGTACATGCATTAAAATGAAAATTTATTTCATAATATGAAAAGTTTTCCAAGTATTTATAAGGAATATGGAATATAAGTATAGATCTACAAGTTCCGTTAATAGATAAATAATAGATATTTACACAAGTATATTACATACAACTAATTGATTGGACGAAGTTCATAATCAATTACAATAGGTGATGATTTGGATAGTGTACAATTCTTTTTAACTGATGATTCACGTACAGCATCTAATAGAACATTGATGAGATAACGATCTTGAAATGGTTCTGGATTTAAACTTCGTCCAGCTATACCATGACCATGAACGGGTGGCCATGGATTTCCGTGCAGTTCCAATATTCCAAATGATTTAGTACCACAAGGTTTTATCGGATAAACTGGAGGAAAAATCTGAAACAAACTAGTGTATGAGCGTTCATAAAATCGATATCTTGGTACAAATACCTGAAACGAAAATAATTAAAGCATATATTATAGGAATATGCACTAAAAAGTATTAACAGGAAAAAAGATCAACTACCACACAACTTATATGTAGATTTTATGAACGAGTTTCAGTTGTAAAGTGAATAAACAAATTAATTAGTCAAATTTGAAGCTTAATAAATAAACTATCTAAACTATACTTATATTGTGTTCCAGTTCTAGTGTACGAACATAAACAGTCAATATGATAATTATACAACATAGATTTGTCCAGACTAAAATTTAATGGAAAATACACTTTGAATTTCATTTCTTAGTAGAATTCATCAAATTAAACTATTAATTAACCATTTGTTACTGAAATATATTTAATAACAGGTTTACAAAGTGTTATAAACGGTGTAATACTCGTTATAAGGCTAGGGTTTCTTGTTATAACAGTCCTTTTACTTAGACGAATATCTATACTAGATTCCCACACCGAAATCCGACACAATCCAACAACAAGGAACAGTCAGTCAATCAATAATAATCAGGATAGGGATATATATAACACATATAACACCCGTCACCCTATCTAATGTCTGACTCAGCAAAACAACCAATCATTATCATTCTCTCCCATATATCACAAAGCTTGTTAGGACATTGAGAGTTAGGTCAAATTTATTTCATCAATTATAGATGCTCATGAAAATCTAATAGTTATTTCTTCTAGATATCTAAAATTCACAGTACGGATACTTAGCCATTATTCTATTTTTAATCATTATTAATAATAATATTATTAAGGATGTAAACAAAACAAAATTAACTCTTATATCTAGCTACATTTGAGCACAATTTCAAACAGTAACTAAATAGTAGATATAAATTTGATAATCCAAATCAGAATTTAAACATTACGTCATTTTAAACTGAAAGTCGATTTCAGTATTTGTGCTAAAACTAACTGACAACAGGTACTTTTATGTAAACTTGGACTATAAAAAATCACTCCCCAGGAAACTATGTAGTTTATTTTGTTTTACAATTTTCGATTGCTGGAAGTGATATTCATTGTGGAACAGAAAAAAACTCTCCAATGGGTAACACATTTCAAAAAGTTAAGTGAGATAAATCTCAGAAATCTGATAATCTGACTTTAATGTTGACCAATAAATCTAACACCTCTCCTAGATACACGAATAAATAAACTTATACGTTTTCTTCAGCTGACCATCGAGATTACGAAACTTTTGATTTATATAAACCATGTCAAGGACAAACACTTGAAATTCCGTATCTCAGAACGGATCAACAACACTGGTCAAAACTGAATCAATCAAGTCTATGCACAACGTTCTTGAGACACACAAGCAAGATAGAAGTATACCTTTTTAGTTAACTTCACCTAAACAGTGTCATAATGCGATACAACTACTTTTCTGTAGACAGGAATATTATCATAGGTTTGATGACTCCGGAATTTCAGACTTCAACTCTTTGTGCCTTGTCCTAAACGATTTCGCGGACGCTTCGAGCCCATTCAAACTGTTTCTCTTGACGTTCCTTGTAGGTTTCTAATTGTTCAAAACGAACGTTCATCGTAGTTTCTTCCATTGCCACTGATAAGTCTTATAAGTGAACTCTTGAGTCGGTTTCCTAAGCTCTTCTAAAAATCCCAAGCTAAATCTACATGGTAACCTGAGCACAATAAAAATAGAGCGAAGTGCGAAAAGAACGTCTTGCTGCAAGGCTAGTTTATGTGCAGAAAAACGTGGGTGCTTATATTATTTCAAACAGTCGTGGCCTTCTG